AGATAGGAATGTTTGCCAAAACAAACGTGAGATGAGCATCATCCCATAATCACGAAAACCTGTGAAAACTGTAACCAAATCAAAATTGTCCAACCTGATGTTCTGAGATGTTGCAAAACACTGCAGAGGTGAGCATACATTTTCACTATTGAACATAATCTCACAAGCAAGAATAATAAAGAAACTTCAGTGAAAAATGTAATCCAATCAAACTCTACCAATGAAAGTGCATGTTATAAAATACAGATTACATTACCATATGCATGATAAAGCCTGTCGTATCGTGCTGTCATGTTTAGATGAATGAATGAATGAATGAATGAATGAATGAATGAATGAATGAATGAATGAATGAATGAATGAGTGAATGAACGTCTTAGTAGTAACAGTCTGTAAGAATATATTTCTATCTTTCTATAGGTGGGACAAGTCATAACAAAGTGAAATTCATCTTCAATACTCTTATTACATGTGGGGCACAGTCTCTGAGTGGCTGGTGTGTTTTGGTGCTATGCTAGTTTCGAACGATATTTTAAAAATTGATGTGAAATGATATTTCATGCCCAAATGGTTTTTGATTTTAGATAGTAATATTATCGGTTGCTAATATAGACAGGTTTGCGTTGTAGTGTAAGTTACAATATTTTTTTAAGTGTTTGTGCTTTAATACCCTTTGCAGGGTTCCTTCTCATCATTTTCTAATCACCACTAACCACACATTCAAGAATATATTAGTACTGTTTTCTGAATTTAAAGAAAAAAAAAGACTTGTGAAGAAAAAAATTATTCATCTGCACAACATTTTGATTACTTTCTACCAATAGTTCTTTTCCTTTGTTTGCTAAAAATCGATAATGGGATTGTATCAATTTTAAACCCCCCTATAATAAGCTAAATCGGCTATTTAACCCTCAACAGAACACCTTCCCGGACTGATTAATCTGTACACTTGGGGTGCGCGCGGACCCCAGAACAGTTTTTTTCTAATTTTTAGAAATTATCAACATGCTACCAGCTCAATTGTTTTGCAAACTGATGTGGGAACCTCTGTGTCCATATTACATACAAAAATCACACATTTTGGCCTTTTTCAATTTTTTGGTGAAGAAAAGAAGACAAGAAGAAATACCCAATTTTTTAACACATTTCAGACTGAAGGGGCTTTTGAGGCCCAACTTTGATCTCAGATAGCGGCTAAACGGTTTGCGCTAGAAGTATCAAATTTGGAGACCTTTACTAAAATGTCTCTGGAAAAAAGTTCATATTAGTTTAATACTAGTAAGTTGATGTTTTTTGTGTTGCCATGGCAACGGTTTTCTAGGAGGCACTTTTTTTGAAAATAGAAGTAATTTTGGTTTAAACATAAAAATTTTCTTAGTTTTATGTTAAATTACACTTCTTTTCCAACATTAATAACATCTTACATAATTAGATATAAGTTAAATCATTTAATATGCATAGAATATGCTAATTTGATGACGTCATTGGGCAAAATCCAATATGGCGGACTATATTATTAGCTCTGACGTCATATGACGTCATTATTACACCAAAGTTATTAAAATTTAATTCTATTCCTACACCATTCTCTGAAAACTTGGTAGACATACGATGATTGCATAAAAACATATAAAAACGGAAATAAGGTAATGTATAAGAACGCCAGTGTATCCATTTTGATCGAAAGCTGGCTGGGGTCCGCGCGGACCCCAAAAGAAAATCAGATATAATTTTTTTTATAAATGGTAGAAACGGAGTTTTCTGCACTGTATTAAGAGACAACTTTGTGGGTGACAATTACCTAAAATTTCAGAAAAAAAACCTTTAGAAACAAAAAAGATATTACAGAATATATAGTGCTGGGGTCCGCGCGGACCTCAGGTGTACTGTTCAGGGTTAAGGTGATTGCGCAATGGACGTGCCCCAAGACCTTCGACCCTTTGTGGGTCATGCAGGCGTCAACAGCGCCCTCCCCACGCCTCGCCCATCCGTTTTCGTGGGAAAATTTCTGCTTTTTTTAGAGGTTTTGGAACCTAAAAACTCAAAACAGGGGAGAAATAATAAGTTATTTTCATGGTAAATGTCGCTGAAATGGACAATGCATTTTTCTGTCGCGTTGACGATTTTGAGTTCGTAAAAGTATCAATTATTAACTTATTTTCGAGGTCGAGAGCTTTGGTACCCTTGGAGTCATCCTCGCTGGGCGTCGCGGAGAGTTAGTAAACGCACGCGGGCCTTGATTAGCCCGTTCTCTGCACACGCCCTCCACGCCTTCCCTGTGCGACACATGCTGAAACCCTCTAGGCCGCGAGCTGTAGTGATTACGCAACCCTCCTAGGTCCGTTGCGCTCGTACAAATGGCCTCTTCTTCAAGCCTGCATGGGCAGCCATCTCTTCTGTAACGGGGTGGTTCAGGATCAATTGCACTTGGAGAGTCCCGTTACAAAACGAATGGGGCCTATTTTTCTAATATCCAAGCCTATCATTTGGTGGCAGGACAGTATCCCTTGGCCAGACGAGTGTCCATGGCTGCCACTGTATGATCTGATTGGCGATTACGCATCCAGGCTACAAGATCTGATGAAAACCACAGTGAGTCCGGGACAGATGAAACGATACGTATACTAGTATCTCTCAGCGGGTAGCTTCGTTATGTTATAAAGGTATGATATACCCGGGTATGATATAAAGTGTATATACTTCACCTTGCCACTCCAATTCTTCGAAAAGCTTTCAAGCGCGGCCGGGATACAACGGTGGTGCGCCTACTAGCGATGTCTTTGGTACTGTAATGCTGTCCCTAGTCTCTACTGTACATTTACATATATTATATTGTCTGCCAGACGCCTGCCCGAGCCTTGACACGGCGTCCCCGCGCCACTCGGACCCCCCCCCTGAGTCTCCATAGTCGCTGCAGGAGTACAGCAGTGGTGCGGCCATTGGCGATGTCCTTGGTGCTGAAATGGGGGTCCCTAATACATCTACTGTATATATGGGTGTGATATTGAGTTGATAAATAGTGTACATGTATATACTTCACCTTGCCGCTCTGATTCTTCGAAAAACTCTCAGGCGCAGCCTAAGTACAGCGGTGGAGTACATAAGTGGTGTGCCCATTGGCGATGTCCTTGGTGCTGAAATGGGGGGTCCCTAATACATCTACAGTAACGTTATATGTGGAGGTGTAATTGAGTTGCTATACTTCCGTCTTGCCAATCCGATTATTCGAAAAAATTCTCAGGCGCGGCCGAAGTACAGCGGCGGTGCATCTACGGGCGATGTCCTCACTACTGAAACGATTGGTCCCTAATATCTACTACCGTTATACGTGTGTAGGTGAAGTGCTATGTCTCTGTGCGCCACCACTAACTCACAAGAGGGTTTAGCAGCGACCAAAGTACAGCGGCGTCGTGTCCACTGCCGATGTTTTTAGTTCTGAAAATCAGGGTCCCTAGTACCTACAATGTGTGGAGGGTATCACTCTATGCCGTGTGCATATTTAGGTTGACTATAGATAGTCTGGTGTCCAGGGAAACTGAATGATTGACATGTAAACAATGCCCCAGGCACGGGGCTTGAAAGGGACCTTTAAAAACGACGTAACGTTTGGTCACAGAGGCCAAGGTTTAAAAACAACAACGTAAAAAGTGTCCTCGAAGATAATAGTGTAATCAGGTTTTGGGGAGTCAGAGGTCAAGGCCCACAGATGTTTAGTTTGCGCCAGTACGAGTTAAGACTTGTTGAGAGACGTTACCGAGTTTAGTTAGAGCTCGTGCGCGCTTATAGTCGGGTGCGAGTTCGTATCATTCTGCAGTTACAAGCCCAAGGATCCAGAGAACCCACGAGTACGCAAGTCAAGGTGAGATCAGTTTCTCTTTTGTTACAATATTAGACTTTCAACTAACTAGGAGATTTCCTTCTTTATCGAGTTCGCTTTTAAACCACCTTGATGTAACGTAGCTACCAACCCGGCTAGCAGAAGCCCCGCCCTGTCCAATCTTTGAAAACTGTCGGGCATGCAAGCCCTCGAGCCTCGCTTTAGGAAAATTTGCCAGGAAGCCGTCTTGCGAAGTTCTCAGCAACAACAAAAGAACGCCTGTACACTCTACAATTTTGGTGATTCTTCTGAAATTGATAACAGAACCTAGATGGTACTAGTTCTAGATTATAGTCGGTACGGATAAATATTGTGGAAAATTGGCCTAAAAATGAAGGAATTGAATCGATTTAAAGAAATGGCAGAAAAAGTAACATGAGGAAAAACAGTATTTCACTCCATACTTTACTTGCAACTGAACCATAGTTATATATTGATTAGAAAAACATGTTAAAACATGAATGTAATATATCCCTAACCTTGGTATCTAAGAAAACTCTAAGGAATACCTAAGACATGTCACTAAATCACTACTTTCTACATTGTAAACTTTATTACAGCCAAAGAAGTACTCTGTTATAATCTATCTCCAATATAGTAGAGCTACAGCATCTCAATGTCAGTTCACTATTACTTCGAGGGTCCACAGGACTTTCACACCAACAAAACTATAGTGTTTTCGATGTAGTTCGAAACTTCATCTACTGTACGGGTAGATTCTTCTTATTGATAGATCACCGACTTGTCTTGTTTGTATTTATGTTGGTTTTACCTACCTATTTTATGCATGTACTTTGTCAATGGTTTTTTTTAAATACTTGTATGGTTTTGAAGAGAAGGTGTTACTTAAGCAACTTGTGCTTTTTACCCAATATCCAATACATATATGTGAAGTAATGAAAAAAGTAATAGAGACAGTTGAACAGTTGGTATCTTCGAGTGAATCCTCACATGTCGCGAATAATCAGAATAGTCAGACTCATCACACCTGTAGGGGTTTCCTCATGTATGGGTTCTCATGTGTTGGGATAAAGACCCAATTTCCGCCCTGTATCCACAATCCTTACAAAAGTAGGGCTTCTCACCACTGTGATTTGCTAGATGAATGTCTAAGCGGTATTCTCTAGCTTAACACTTTGTCACCTGTATGAGTTTTCATATGTTGGGATAGGGTATACTTTTGAGCTGTCCTGTACCCACACTCTTCACACATGTAGGGTTCCTTACCGATGTGTTTTGCTAGATGTTGATCCAAGGCACCTTTCTGTGCAGCAGAATAGTCACACTGGTCACACTTGTAAGGTTTTTCTCCAGTATGGGTTCTCATATGTCGGGATAATACAGATTTGTAAGCTGTCCTGTACCCACACTCCTCACACATGTAAGCCTTTTCACCACTATGTTTTTGTAGATGCTGGTGTAAGGTTGGTTTTTTTGTAGCAGAATAGTCACACTGGTCACACTTGTAGGGTTTTTCTCCTGTATGGGTTCTCATATGTTTGTATAAGCCAAACTTTCCAGCTACCCTGTACCCACACTCCCCACACATATATGATTTCTCACCGGTGTGTTTTTGTAGATGTTGGTCCAGGTTATATTTCTGTGCAGCAGAATAGTCACACTGGTCACATTTGTAGGGTTTTTCTCCTGTATGGGTTCTCATATGTCGGGATAGGTGGGACCTGTTAGCTGTCCTGTACCCACACCCCGCACACATGTATGGTTTTACACTCATATGTCTGGATAAGTTAGACTTTTGAGCTGTCCTGTATCCATACAAGTCGACATTCCGTGCATTTACCTGACCTGCTGCTGTGCTTGTTTTGCTGTCACAGTTGACCTGAGAAACCCCAATGGGAGACCCTTCATATGAGTTACCAACCTCGGTGGGAGACCCGTGTCCTGCTGATGCCATGTTGAGCCTAATGAAAATGAAGAAAGCAATCATTAAAAAAACTATAAATGATCAAATTAGGTCTACAGTTTGTCCAGTTCCCACTAGCTATACAATTTCAACCTAATTCATTATAACTAGAAACCTAAATGTTTCGTGATGGAAGGTTATGTTGCCTTTTTCATATTAGTACAAATTTGCTGCAATTTAGAAATTTAGTGTGAAATCTTATAATCACTCACTCACTTTACCGAGCTAAGAAGATCAAAACCTTTTTATTACATTATTTTTTTTTTTCAAAACGACACCAAAATGTATATATTAACCCTCAAACACCCAAACTTTTTTTTGTGACGTTAATGCCCGAACGGGGTCCAAACGGACCCCATTTGGTTTCTTTCAAATTCATATTCCTTTTTGCATCCTTTCAGTGATCTTTGCACATAAATTTGTTAAACATATTAAGACGTTTATTTTGGCATAATTAAGTGTTTAAAAATTCCAGCTCATTATCATAATTTAGGCAAAAATTGGATGAGGCCTGCAGGCATGAACATGTGGTTGACCTTTGACCTCATATGGTTGTCAAATTGTCAAACCTCTGAAAACCTAATGGAATAATTCCTAAAATTAAGATTACTTGGCAAACTGCATAATATTAAAGCAATAATGCTTCCTTGAAGACATATTGAGGACATCTGAACAATTTCGTATGTAGGAAAGTGCAAATACATGGCTTGGGTCCGTTTGGACCCCAGACGGTCTTACATCAGACTTCCGTTGTTGTTTTTACAAATTTGTGCCGATCTCCAAAAAAATTAGGAAAACTTGTAAAAGAGGTTTACTGACAAAGTCACGGGAGGAATTTTTTTTAAATAAAAAAAATCAAATAGCACATAAAAAAATACGTCTGGGGTCCAAACGGACCTCGTTCGGGTGTTTAAGGGTTAAAAATAAGGACAATCTAATTTCTAATCTACAAACAATACGGATTACTGCAAACACCTCCCCCTCGACTACATTCGCTATATAACACTAAGTCTCCTTCACAGACTTGTGCGTTGGCGGCGTAGAACCCATTGGACTAGCCAGTTGGTTACGCCTTTACCTATTCTAGGTGTTTTCTAAATTTATTACCTTCGCCAAGATGGTAATGTTTTCGGTAGTGTTTGTCTGTCTGTTTGTGTACAGCATTACTCAAGAAGCTTTACATGCATTGTCATGAAACCTAGTAGGTGGGTAGGTCTTGATGAGACTTAGAAATGATTAGATTTTGAACCCCCTGGCGGCCTTTGACGGTGCTGCAGCAGAACTTCTGGTTTTGATGTCTCATGACCTGGACATACTAGGGTCACGAATTATTCAAATTACGACCTCATTTGCATAATATTTAAGGAGGTGCTAGAATAGCCTTTTTTGGTTAAGATAAGGCTGTCATTGGGTGGGGAATAGGATCAACTGAGTTAATCCATGCAAATGTGGAGAATAGGGTCAACTGATATAATCCATGCAAATGAGGCTCATATTTTCAAAATCAATGAGTAAAAACGTACAATTCGTCCACCGGAAGGGTAAACGTCATTTGGCAAAGGTATGAGATCATGGAACTCTAGTTTAACTCTAGCCTTTTGCCTTTCTTAACAGCATGGTTAAACTTCCTATATTTCTATATCACTACGTCCTCTAGAAAAAGACACTGCCTCATACACCATGACGTAGTAAGTACAGTGAATAACAAGAGTTCCGAGATCTGATACCTCCATGAAATATGGGCTTGACATGTAAATGTTACTTTCTTCTTTAATTATGCAAATTACCTCCACATTAACATAATAAAAGCATCGTGATGTTAACTTTTGATTAACTTACACATGTACCAATTATGAAATTCCCATCATTTACCACTAAGGAGTCATAGAATTTTCGCATTAATTATGCAAATTAGGTCATCATTTGCATAATTGGTATCTGGTGATGTTCCATCCGCCATAGATTACATACATTACATGTATGAAAGTACTATAATGCAAAACACTGTAATTTTAGAATTTACTCATTAATTATGCAAATTTAGTCCTCATTTGCATAATTTGAAGTTAATTATGTACACCTCTCTCTCAGCTACCAACCTACCAAAAATGATGAAAAAAAATTGTTTCTATCTGGACTTATTGGCATTTAAAGATTTCGCCCGAAAGTCCCCTGCAGTTCCAGAACAAGCTGCTAGGGGGACCAAACCCACACCACTTATTCCTGACAGGACAATCTATCTGCCACCAAAAAATCAAGACCATAGCATATTCAGGACAAAAGATACAAAAACCGGAAGTTCTGCTGCAGTACCAAGGTCATCCACCAGGAGGCGTATATTTGACCTTGACCTTCGTCTTCCTAAGACCTACCAGCATACCAAATATCATCACAATCCATAAAGGCGTTTTGAAGTTATGCTGGCCGCAAATGTGCGGAGACACAAACACACAGACAGACACACAGACAGACGCAACAAAAACAATACCTCCATTTCCATGGAGGTAATAACACAGGTTGTTTGTTTTCAAACACACAGCCATACAGTGGCACATTTGCCCTGAAATAGGTCACCTATTCCTCTGAGGGAGCGCGCTGCCTCGCTGGGCATAGCCACATCTGTTACCCTGGCTCGCAAGTACAAAGGAGATTCCTCTCAGCCATGCCCTGACTCAACCATAAACCGGAAGTGCTGCTGCAGTACCTGGGCCATCCACCAGGAGGCCCATATTTGACCTTGACCTTTGTCCTCCTAAGACCTACCAGCATACCAAATATTATCACATTCCATAAAGGCGTTATGGAGTTATGAAGGTACAAATATGCGGAAACACAAACACACATACACACACACACACACACACACACACACACACACACACGCACAAAGACGCGCCAAAAACAATACCTCCATTTTCATGGATGTAATAATGTGTCCCATGGGGTTCGCCCCCCCCCCACCTGTCACTGAATACCATCCAGTAGATTTATGAATAATTATGACCGATTTGACCGATTTATGACCGATTTATGAATAATTTATCAAGGCCCACGAAACGGTTCTTTCACTTGCAGAGTAGCAAATGATCCGTTGGCACACGATGGGCGAAAACATATTTCACACGCATTGTTCGTCGGATAAACATTACAAAGAGAATTTTCGTAGGACTTCCATTACTTTAGTTTACAGCAAGTGTATTGAGAACGGATATCTTCATAATCCTGCTGGCTGTTTTAGAAGAACGGCACAATAAAACAGTTTTCAATATCATCACGACTAGGCAGATAACATTTTATTTTATAACGCAATGAAGCCAACTTGGTTTGAGTTAATATAGCATTAACATGAAACAAGGTGCTAATAGCCGCTAGTCGTTGACCTTTCAGCAGCCCTCTGATTAGTCTCCGCTAGAAACCTACTGGATGTCGTATAGTGTACATGGGGACCCCCCCCCCCCTCCTCCTTCATTTTCACCCTCCATATTCATATCCATATTCACATCCCGAAAAATCCTATAAATTATCGCCGTACATACTTACAGAAAATAGCACAAACTATTGCTCTGCACATCAGACTACATCACTCCTTACCTCCTAGCCTTACCTGCTTCCTATGGCGTTTTTTTTTTTCTTCACGTAAGCCCGGACTCGGTGGACAGCTTTCTTTGTTCCTCTGACGCTTCGTGAGGTCAGAGGTGAACGCAAAGTAGGTCAAAGGTGAAATAGTAGGCCTGGTTACCCGTGTGATACATCTTACCTTTATTACCCGTGACATCTTACTTAAAAGTAAGATTAAGTAAGATTCATTGCACGGGTAATCAGGCCTACCATTTAGTTTTAAAACTGATGTGAATCATGCTAACAGCCTCAAGTGGGGGTTAAAATCATCTTTATTCCAATATACATGTATATACAAGATGACTCGTTGAAGTACACCTAGGCCAGCCCTTTATCTCATTAAGAGTAGGGCGCAAGGTAAGTAAAATGTAACAAGTAACTGTGTGCATCGGACATTAAAATTTCGATTAAAATTGTTTTCTACACATACATTTCATTAATACGTATACTAACAAAAATGTTTTATAGATCTTAAAGATTTAAAAAAAGAACCAAGCCTGTTGCATCAAATTTATCTTTTACAAGAGAATAGCCCTGAGGTACTTTCCCAAGCCTGTGTGTTTCTAGCGCAGTATATGGCATAAGATGCACAAAGTGCGCACTTCCCCAGTCTACTTTTAAGATGTCTGACTTCACGGTCCGTATGACTGACTAGGCAGAGTGACTTCAGTTTCGCAGTGTTCTCACTGTTAATCCATCCTCTACTTCCGACTTCAATTGTAACGAGTGTAGCTCTGTACCCACTATGTACGTTTATTTCATTAATCAGGACTTCGTACTTGGCAGACTTTCTGTCCTCAGCGTGCTGTGCATTCTGTTCACACGTTTCATTGATATTCATAATTTGGGTACTAGATAAAGCGTGATATATAAAAACTATGCAACATGCGTCTGTGTATGACTAGAACCATGCTTTGCGCTAATAGATCTCTTAAAGCGTACTAAACAGAGTATGTTCATTTCAAATATCGGTAAGCACTTCAGAGAGTCGATTGATAATCAGACAGAATAAGGCACAGGTAAGAACGTATTTGTTGAAAATTGAAAACTCAAATTGATATTTGTTGTGTTAGTAGATATGGTTAACATGAAACAGGCATTTATAAACCATCCCCTCCATATCATATACAGTAGACAGCACGATACCTTTTAAGGCAACCATGTATATAAGAACATTTGAAAAATATTGGTCTATATACAAGTATTATTTGAGTCATTGGATTATCACTTTTTTACTTGAATGATGTAAACATAAGTACTAAAGCTGGGCGACAGAGTTATGAATGACATTATGAACCCGAAGGTAAACGCAATTGATTTAAAACATTATCAATAACCATCATCGCTTGACGATCGACATCCAATAAGAACCAATTCGTATGTAGATAAAAAAAAGTCACGGATACAAAACAGTGACTGTACAGCTGACCAAGTACATATTTAACATTACTAAAACCTCACCCACACTGATATATAGACATGTAAATGTGATTATTAATTACGTTGATGGAAATAAACATAGGTACAAATGAACTCTAGACAAGTTAACTCAATTTAAGTGTTATTGTAGTAAATATACAGTTAACACGCAAGTAAAAAATTCCACTAAAACCCATTCCAATACAGACAACACGAAGCCTTGCAATGCATACATGTAGCATCAGAACATTTTACAAGCATGTATGCATTTGTAACATTGAAACGTAAACAGTTTTACTTGAATGATTTAAAAAAATCAATACTCATGCTGTGCTATGGAATTATAATTCATGCCCGAGGGTTAATTGCAAACAGATATGACAAGAAAAATGTAGTGATATAAGACTATTTGCTAACGTGAAGTTCTATGTGTACGATATATTTATCAAACCTACTATCTCTACTTAAATCTAATAACGTTAGTATACATACAGAATAAACAGTAGATATGCAATATATGAACAGGTAAGAGGAACAAGGTAACTGCTATTCTAATCTATTCTATTGTATTAAACTATTCTTGCCATGCTACTAGGGGTTTTTACATCTTCTCAGGAGGCTATGTGAGATAAATTGTCCGACTCTTTGAAAAATAAATGGGTTGGGAGACTTTAGCAATAATATAGTCTTTTGTTGTTGGTTGAGGTATGAAAAACTTGGGAAAATATTTGCGACTTCTTTGAATAAGTTCTAGTAATAGTAAATGGAACATGGTAAACGTTGTTGATTACAAAGTATAACCAACCATAACCAACTGTATTAAAAGTGACTTCACAAAAACAAAACAAAAATCTATACCTGACAAAACACACTTTAACGGCACAGACACATTGGCATGTTGACAGAAGTCAACCTGTTCTTCCTATCCTGTGAATGCATCATCACCATCATCTATGTCATCATTGTCATCAGAGTCAATGATCTCATACTCGAAATCGTCATCGTTCTCAATGTTGACGTAGCTCTGAAACAAGACGTAAAGCTCACATGAAAATCTCTCCAATTCAAACTACTGGTAACAATTGAATGCTTTACTTATCTGGTAAAATTCCAGAAATTTTTACTTAAGTTCCACAATCTTAATGCGTACATGTGTATTTACCATATGCTTTGTTGCATATATCCCATGCATGCAATGTTAAACATTGTAGAATATCACAGATCACAATGATCATTAGAAAGCTAACATTTGCAAAGCATCATGTTTACCTTCACACGGTCCAGCTTAACCAACTACTGCTTTTTTTATTCTAAATCAATCACTGTCATATATATATGGTTCTAAATCAAACACATTCACATATATATTGTGACCATGCAGCCCCTCCTGAACTCAGTTCTGCATGGCACTTGCAACATTATGTAACCTAACAACCGTGACCTTGTTGACAGGCGTCTAGCCCTGGTTATTTACGTCATTTGATTGAAATGGAAGAAGAGGAAGAAACTGAGCAAAAACAATATGTTTTCCTTCGGTAAACATGATGCTGACCCTAAATACAGTTTAGACACTAATGTTTGACCAATAGAATTGCATACTCACGCTCTTGTCCTCCATCATGTTCTTCAGTTGTTCCACCAGGTCAGAGAAGGTCGGTCTGTCCTCAGGACGGCGCTGCCAGCACTGCAGCATCATCTGGTACCTGGTCAGGAACAATATGTCGGCACTTGTATCAAATATCTCTTTTTTGTTATGATTGTTTCGTTGACTGTAATTTTGCTAGATAGAAAGCAACCCAGATTTACAAATATTTAATTTTGTTCATATATCATATTAAACCATTAGAAACATAATATATATCAATCTGAAAAAGGAACTATTGGTAGAGATGGTTATAGTATAGTGCTTTTACAGAGTGATAAATTGAAGGGTGCAGCTATTGGGAACACGACATAAATAGAAGGTCAATGCAAAACGTACAAGTCTTCATCACAGTTCCTTTGCTTTGGCATCCTGTATCCTTCGCGTAGCCTTCTCAACAGAAGTCCTGATTTCATTCCGCTATACGGGGTTCCACCTACAAGAGTTAACACTATCGTTATCCTTACATCATGTATTCCATACTACATGTATAATTATTAACATTGTAAGGTCAAACATGGGGTGACACCAGCAAAGTTATACGCTGACACAAAGTCAGTTAATTCTTCACACTCACCCAAAGTCACAATCTCCCAGAGTAGAATTCCGAAAGACCACCTGCAGTACATATCGGAGGAAAGCAAAAAAGTTTCAGCCAAAGTTAAAATGAAGTCACCATTGGTAATTTCCTTGAACAAGATATTTATGAAAGAAAAACTCCAAAAGGTCACAAATTTGTGGAGGTTCATAGATGTTGTCGATGCTACCGTTGTGAAATAATTTCATCAACAGTTCAAACCTACACGTCACTCTGTGTTGTGTATATCCTCTTGCTCAGCGCCTCCAGCGCAGTGGATCGGAACGGAACAGCTCTCTGTAACACATAAAACAGTTGTCATCTACAACATTTGAATAATGTCTTTGATGCTGCGAAAGATAGGTTGAATGTGCAAGATTTTGCAAGGCAATTTTTTAATCACTTGCTATTGATTACTTAGATTATGCTTTAATTCACGTCTTAGTTACTTTATTGTTGTATATACTTACTTTAGACGTTTGTTCATAGATGCCATCCCCACGTGACAGGCCGAAGTCAGCAACCTTGGCGATGAGGCTGTCTGTCAGGAGAACATTCCTGGCCGCCAGGTCACGGTGGATCACCTATCAAGCAGAAAAAAGCACAATTTACGAAGATGAAGAAATGTACACATGACTCGTGCTATGTTTGCTGCTATCCAAAGACTATAAATCTCTAAACCACAACCCTACTAATATATTAACGTACGTCTTTAGAAGACAGGTGTTCCATCCCCGTCGCCACGTCACAGGCGATACGGAGGAGCTGGACCGGTGACAGGGTGGACACGGTGCCGGCAGTCTGACGGGTGTTGCCGTAGGCTGCACTTGTCGTTTCCAGAACCCGAGATGTTCTCAGGTACTTCTTCAGATCGCCATTTCCGGCCATTTCTAGAGCCATATACTGTTGACCTGAAGACGAATGTGCTTGTATTTTGTACAATTTCACATCAAATGATATTGATTACAATTTCATCCAAATTAATATATCAAGTCGAATAGTGTTACTAAAATGCATACCTAAATGCCTTAATTCACCTGTGCTTATAATTAGGATAGTGAAATGCAAAATAGCACATGTACATCGCTATGGACTTAGCTTCTAATGAACTGATCACACCTGCTTAGATGTGCAAGAATCACAAGTTTTTCAGTATGGCAAAAATGTAGCCGCCTATTGCAGCATGTACTCTGCCAAATGGCTCACCTTGGTGGTCACAGGTTCCCAAGAGGTTGATGATATAAGGATGGTAGCCAACATGGCGCATGATGTCCACTTCTTGTTGAAAGTCTTGCCTGGCAGCCTCATCTGCACCACCTTAAAAGAAAGAAAAAAATGAGATTTCAATTATGACACGAATACTTTTAGCAGCCTTTCAAATCTTATAGTGAATAAAGGATTTTAGCTAACATAGTATTATTTATCATATATATCAGGATCAATATATTATGAAAGTATTTCGTGCAGGTATCGTGATCGAGCTTAGGCATCTTCTGCTTACGTTTCAGTACTTTGATTGCCGATGGCAACCTTTCACCATCCAGATTGACTGTTCCCTTCCGGACCTCTCCAAAGTTGCCTGTTCCAAGGAGCCTGGAGGTCAGAGAGATGTCGTCCCAAGTCAAGTCGCGGTCGCTGATTGCCATAATCTTCAGCGGGAGGGGCTGTTGTGGAAGGAGGCATAAAGCACATGACACTTTGACATCTTCCGTAAATAATTTTATCAGGTTGGTAAACGAATGAATAGAAAAGTTTTTTGTTCGTTGTTCCTAATATAAGATGTCAAAGTGAATAGCAAAGTTGTTTGATCCAAACCATTTATTTTTCACGAGCCGATGTTTCGATGGCCGTCTGTCATCTTCATCAGGGCAATTCTGCCTGGTTTACTGTGCACTGACGCTAGATGTTACTTGGTGCATAGTGCACTAAATGTGTATGTTTGTTACAATTGCACTGCATTCGGAAATGCATTGTTAACAGTAAAAACTAGCTTAAGTACAATGTGAACCATGTAACATTGCACTGTGAACCATGTAACACCTTTAGTATAGTGCACTATGCACCAAGTAACATCTAGCGTCAGTGCACAGTAAACCAGTCAGAATTGCCCTGATGAAGATGACAGACGGTCATCGAAACGTCGGCTCGTGAATAATAAATGGTTTTGATCAAAGAACTTTGCTATTCACTTTGATATCTTAAATTATGAACAACGATTGCAGTGTCAAAGTAAGTACAAGGGAAAATGTACAGGAAAAAGTACCTTGTTTGGAGGTTATGACCTGATTATCATTGTGATTATGTATGGAAAATGGTTCAACATTCCAGGACCACCATAATACATCTTACTCTGTAGTTCTCCATGATAGTCGGTTTGGAGCCATGATGTTCACCGTGGTGCCTAGTTGAAGTTGGGTCCCCATCAGCCACATCAGCAGTTCTTGTGACTTCTTGCATTCTCAAGCCGGTTTGGTCTAAAATGGGTAACATCATCATTCATCATTAATCATCCTCCGAAAAGGTGGAACATACAAAGTTAGACCTCCAGAACTTTCTGTCCTTGGGTAACAAAGGGTAATGATTGGTAATAAACGGGTAATAAATGGGTAATAAATGGGTAATAAATCGGTTATAAATGGGTAATAAATGGGCAATAAATGGGTAACAGCTTCAATTCATTTGTCATATTGCAATAATTGTAATTTATGGTGATACTTAGGGCTAGTGATATCATAGAAAAAAATTATAGTTAATTTCTTACCTGAAATGAACGGTGTATCAGAAAACCCTTCCACATCTGAAATATCCTCACGGACATGGCGGGGAGGGCGTTGCTTTCGTCGCCTGTAAACAACAAGTACCAAAATCAGGCCACATTCTCTATGTAATAGTGGAGGCTAAATACATGCTCAAATAGACCAATAGTGGTCATTTCCTATAACCACTGATGTTGTCAGACAGTCTGTTCTTTAACCCGAATTATGTTACACCATGTTTGATCTGACATCATTCTCACAGAAAGCGTCTTCCATTTGGGGTCACCAGTCATTTATCATTTATTACTTGACGGTGATTGATCTATTCGTGTTTATGGGATTTAATCAACACTGGTAAGGTTCACAGTTTTTTCACAGCTTTTGCACACACTATAATCGATAAATGCACGGATTTCAATCACGTATTGCACAACTTTTGGTGGCAATTTTCACACATATACAGATGGGACGTTTTTTGAGATATGTATTGTATATCAGTACAGCAGTCTCACCTGATGAGAAGGATCAAGACAGTAAGAATGATGAGGACGATCACAGCTGAACAGAGGATGATGAGGATCAGCATCCAGTTGTTACCCGGGGACGGCGCAGTCATGATGGGAAGGGAGTAACCACTGCTGCTGTACAGGGGCTGGGAGGAAGGGAGGAACCATTAATAATGCCTTGGTTTAAATTATGGGGGAGGCAAAGGACCTTTGATACTTGCATGGAAGCATGGAAGAAGCATTAGCTTAATATGTAAAAATAAGAAAGGTAATATTTGCAAAGCAATGCATAATATTTACGGTCTAGCCTAACAAACTGCTGCTTTGTTTACTCTTACGCAAATACATTCATTAATATGGAGACCAGCCCCTCCAACTCTGTCCTGCAACTTGCTACATAATGTAGCCTAACACCACAGGATGTCTGCTACAGAACCTGGCAGATAGCTGTCATTGACCTAATTTGTTTAAAGAAGAAACCAATGAGAAACAAAGCAAAGACACTATGTTTCCCTTCTACGAAGATAAACATAATTAAAGACCAGTGCATCTTTTGTACGAGTTAGCTACCTTTAATTCCTTACCAAGGGCTTCAACTTCAAGGAAATCTTCCTTGCCTTACCTGAGAGCCATCCTGAGGCTTGCTGCCATAAACCCTGTGCACTACGGTGTATCTTGTACCTGGTTTAAGGGGAGAGTTGGTGTACACTTCATCATAGATGTCCTCTACTGACTGTTCACGCTTTCTTCTGCCAGTGCCAGCACAAGATGTCTTCCTACCATCACCCAGGAAAACATCCTCCACAAAGTCATCCCTGTGAAACAAGCAAACTTTAAAACAAGGAACACATAACCAAAACGGATGTGTGTCCATTTCTGAGGATATAAGGGTTGCCATCTCGATTAGGAAATCTACCAAAACTGACAACTCACAGCACAATGCTAATTCTAGCAGTCATAGTGTAATTTTCAAAACTTGCCCTACTTTACCAGCACATTAGCAGAATGTACTGTACATGTACGAAATTAGCGTTGTTGTGCCCGTAGCATGGTGCCTAGAACTTCTACATAACATCTTGCATCTTGTTTAAAGTTCACTGAAGATATCCTTTTCTTACCTATTAAATGCCATGGCCACATAGGCAGTAACATTGTTGCCTGATGAAGCGGCTTCTTGTTGGGACACCACCTTCAGCTGGTCGACATTCGGCATTGTCCTCAACGACATTTCATCTTTCAACTCCACAACAAGCACATGGTAACATCTGGATAGAAGGGATATTCAATCAATCAATTAATCAATCGTGATAATCTATCAATCAATCAATACAGGAATTAATAAATTGAATTTATCAAAGAATGAATGAGCGTACATAAAAATGAATGGCAAGCAAATCATAATTACCAACAACCTCTGAAAGGCTTAAAATTCCATAATAATTCTTTACTTTCTCTATAAAAAATATCATATTGTAACCTTCTCACTTTGACCAGGCAAGTCACATTCTACTTTTCTTATCACTCAAATTGTAACATCACAATATAGTGAGCTACACAGGCAGCAATGGCTGATATTGGACACGGTGGTTTAATAAATACTGTAAAAACAAACATTTACATATAAAAAATTGATGTTCAAGATTTAAGTTACAGCAAGTCACATTGATACTGCATTTATCATTATTGATAGTACACATGGTAGGTTCATTTTTAACTGTTCCAGCTAGACTATGAGACATCTAGTACTTACTCCACAGGTCCAGTCCTCTCCGACACCTGTGAGAGCGTTATGGGATAGCCGTTATGTTTGATGACATCAGCCGCCTGTGGCATCGCCGGGGGAGAGGGGGTTATGGGTTCTGTCAGACAACAAGGAGACAAAATGTGTTTGTTTACTCCATAAAAAAAAACACAAGACATGACAGACTATAGTTTGGCTAATTTCTGAACAAGTCACAAAGATGATGATGACGAACAATTGACAGTTTGACATTGATGCTATGGTAACTAGAGAGGCAGACATTTGCTTGGGAGCAAATACAGCATATTTCAGTCCATCTCCCTCCCAAGTAAAAGTGGACTATTCCAAACTTACCCCAGTGTAAAACTAGCAAAGATTCTCTGTAGCTATGTAATTGAGAACAAAGATGCAAGAACAAGCACATTGAATTTGAAAGCTTTACTAATCTTATTACAGGTATGCAAATACTAACAATGATGAGATTTGATACATTTTGAAGGTCTTAGGCACATAAAATTGAATGTGTGGGTCATTACGCACGACTTAGGTGCAATGTGCCCTCAGGTAACCCGCAATGGAACACGTGTTCCATGGCCAACGGCAGATGGAACGGGCCATTCTTTTGATAGAACATGGAACGGGTATAGCACTTTTGGCCCTTTTTTTTTCTGAAAATAGCCATTGAAGTCCCCCAAATGAGTCATTTGGAACTGCTGTATGCCAAATATGTGACTGCTATTCTGTAGACACACGTTCAAGGTACCCTTATGCCGAATTGTAGATCATTTGGTTGTAAAACCAGGGCTCAGGATCAAAAAATCCATTTTTGGCGAAAAATGCCCCCAAAAAACCTTCTTTAAAATTTTTCAAAGGCATGTATAAAAAAAATGAAAAAAAAAACGCCTGGGGGTATTGGCCTACTCTACGTCCAGGCCAAATTTCAAGTCATTTGGCTGAATGATGGCAGAGTTGAATCCCTTTGACTGTTTGGCAGGAGGAGAAGAAGAAACATGAGAGAACACAATATATTTTATCCATACCATGGTATGGACTGAAATATAATGACTGTATATTATAAAAGACATTAAATAAGGGAGGCCTGGTTCTGAGAAAAAAAAAGAGGTTTCTGACACTCCAGAACATACTTCTTGGTTTTGAGGCTCTTTCAAACGCTTAAAGGATAAAATAAAAATGAAAAAAAATCGCACTATATGCCAATATTAGACAGATTTTCTCATCCATAATAATATTTTTTGTTTTGCCACCCTAAAATTGACTTGAATGCTTTAAAAAAACAGAGAGGTGTAATCCATACTTACTCCCAGGTGGGACCTCACACGTACTGGTACTGGCCGTGTAGCTGCTGAACTCCCCCTGCCCTGCGTACGTGGATGCCGTCATGTTGAACTTGTACCAGGAGTTGGGGGTCAGGAAGCGCAGAGGGAAGGTTCCCATTCTGGTGTAAGGGTTGAAATTCTCCTGGCTGTACTCCACAGCCTGGGCACCAGGGGGAGCATCTATCCACATGGCGGTCAGGTAGATCTGGGATATAAAACATTTTTGTTTGTTAATATATTTACCTTAAGTTTGCAGAAGGGAAAAACATTGTTTTTCCTGTGTTTCTTCTTCTTCCTCTCCAAACAAATAAGGTCAATGACAGCAATTATAAAATAATTATGGTAACTGGTGCTGTAGCAGACACCCTGTGGTGTTGGGTTACATTATGTAGCAAGTGGCAGGACAGAGTTGGAGGGACTGGTCACCATATACATGAATGTGTTTGAGTAAGAATAAACAGAGCAGCAGTTTGTTAGGCTATACCATAACGGTTGCAAATGTATAGGCCATGTTGAATTGATTATATGAATAACATCCTCAAAACTGATGCGAGCGTGCGAATTAAAAATAAAGCACACATTTTGCAGATTTAAGGATACAAAAAAAGTACATATGGAGGGTGTGTACTGACAGTGTATTTGATGATGGTGCCATTCGGAGTCTTTGGTACATCCCACTGTACAACACATGCAGACTGACTTCTGGACAGATATACTCCTCTTGGAGCACTGGGTACTGAGGAAAACCAGAAAAACATGGTCAGATGATGAGATGCATTGGAACCAAAGATTGTTAAAACTTTTATTACCGGTACTGTACATGTACTCGTATTTCATTTATAGCATGTTCTAAAAGTTACTTCAGTGTTTGCCATGAAAGAGCTATTAAATTGAAAGATTTTAATAGATCTAGAATTGAGCACAACAATGTAATAAAGTATTAAGTCACAGTTGTTGGCTTGGCTTTGTTATCGTAACAACATAAAATGAACTACTAAAATGTTGCTATCACTTCTATAGCTTACAAACAGAAAACAGCAAATTTAGTACTTACGTCCATCACTGGTTGTCATGTTGGTTCTACTTTCAATTCCTCTACAAGGACCAAGGTTGAAGGGAACAACCTACAAATGTACAAGGCAAAGAAAATTACAATGTATGTGTTGTGTAGAAGCTGATTATATATTTGCATTCTAATTTATGATTTCTATGGATATGAGACCAAAATCATGATTAACCAGTTTAACCCTACCTAGACCGGGCTTTTTTTGACATGGGGGGACCGGGGGG